ATATAAATATAAATGAATAAATAAATAAATATATAAACCATGTAGATAGTTGCCTGAACGATTCTAACAAGTTTGGGGGTATCTGTCATTATAGTATAACTGTACAGGGACTAGGAGCGGTCACAGTCCCTGTCCTTCTAATACAAAACGGCAAGAATGTGGGCAGGTCAGTTCGTTGAGCTGTGCAGCTGTAACCGCCAGCGTTGGAAAGCCGCGCTGACAAAATTTTTTGGCACGGAACATCATCAACGGAGATCTTGCGCCGTCGTTGAGCTTCCATAGTTTAGGTTGAATCTGGCAAAGTGGAGGAGCCTTTCTCGGTCTGGTGAGTGTGGGTAGGAACTAGGACCCTCTCCTTGGAGTTTCTCAAGATTCCTTCAGACCTTGGACAGCTGCTGAGTTTGCAGGTGCAACATGGGAGGTTGTGTTGCCACGAACCAGGTTCTCCACAAGAAAAGCGCGGTGTCCTCAGTCCTCAGGAAGCTTTAGGCAACGTAAAAGGCTGCAGATATAAAATCTTGCACAGTGGTATTTGTGTCTGAGGGCAGCTTTTGTCAAGATGGACCTACGGGCAAGCGAAGGCAGTGGCTTCGAGCACATGGAGCATCTTGACATGAGCAGCTTAGAAGAAGACACGGGAATTGTCGGCACCGGACACAGCGTCGGTTGCAGCAAGGCAGACGCGAGACGGAGCAGAGTCTTTCCAGATTGACGCAGGAAGCACGATCAAAAGCAAGATCTTCCAACCATGTTGAATGGAGTGTCGGGTACTCGGAGCGCATCTCGTGACTAAAGCCCATGTTCTCTTGCGATGTCGTCTTGATGTTCTGCTGTGACAGTAATGGGGCTCGTGTGAAAGTGGCATCTTTTCTAGTCGAAGCAGCACGACGGCTCTGCATCTGGGCCGGGTCAGGTCCGGGCAGAAGTCGAACAAAGCAGTGCGACACCCGAGTCTCAGGGTAAGGAGTGTTAGCTGTGACAGGCAGAGTTTCGCAGAGTCAAAACGCACGAGATCCGAATCATCAAAGAGTGCTTCCTCAGATGGCCTGGTGCTGTGAGCTGCGTGCTGGTTCTGAGGACGCGCTGTCTCGTGCGCAGCTGATCCTGAACCACTCAGGGCTGCCCGACAGAGAATACAGGTAGAAGACTACTTGCTGTATGAAGTGTCTTGCATGAAGGGCGGCAAGCATCTGCTTCCAAGGGATGTGAGGGATATCTACAGAATCGAGGCTTGCGACGGCAGTGGCAGCTGTTTCATGTATTCTTCATAGTTCATCATGAAAATGATGTCGTCATGAAGGCAAGAAAGCTCGGTGAAGGAACCTACGGTTCCGTTTCCAGTGCCGTGTCGAGCGCTTAGAATCCACTGTGCCACTTTTAGCCTTTGTGCTGCAGCTGATGTGTGCTGTCGTCGCCATTGTTGCTGCTTCAGTTGAACAGTGCTTTTCGCTTTGGCGTTGGACTCTCATACACACTTCCAGCCAGCCTGCATCGCACTCTCGCCAAGGCACAAGCAGACTGGTGTGGTTCGTGCGATCAAGACTATGTCCAAGGCACGGCCTAGTAGATCTCCACCCATCTGCTTCTTTCAACTGGTCTCTCCTCCCGCTTCCTGCCTCAAATGGCCAGGGGCAGATGAAGAACCTGGCTCGCTTCAAGCAAGAGGTAGCCATCATGAAGGCCATGGGCAGACTACGCAGCTCTTTCTCGACCGCTCCGCAAGGCCCTAAACCCTGAGTGTAGGTCATGGATCACCCGAACATCATCAAACTCTTCGAGACCTTCGAAGATCGCGCCGGCCTCATTCTCCGATCCCCTTCTTCCTTTGTTGCTAGAGTGTGGTAAACTGTGCGGTCTGGTGTAGTAGAGCTCAAACCACCATAGAGCATGAAAGGAAGACAAATCTACCTGGTGATGGAGCTCTGCTCGGGGGGAGAACTTTTCGACCGGATCATCGAGGCATTGCAGATCAGAACGGCCCCGGCCTCAACAAAAAGGCGCTTTCACTCACACTTGAGGCCGGCCACTTCAGGGAATCCGACGGCGCCATTGTGGTGTAGCCCTGTCTCTGTTGTGCCCTGCGTGCCGGATTGCAGCGACGCCAGTGTGCTGGGCCAGGTCCCACATCCTGCATGCTATCTTCTACATGCACAAGCCGCTAGCTTGAACAGGGTAGGCTTCAGTGTGCAAGTCAGTGTTGAATTTTGAAGACTCCGTGCTGTGTGAGTGCTTGACATTGGAGGATGGATGTCTGCGGTGCACTGAGCCGATTCTTGCTGCCTTCGCGCTACGTCTCAAGCTCGTGCACGGTACACGTTCTGCCTCGACTGAGGCCACAGAGATCTGAAGCCGGAGAACTTCCTGTTGCTAAGCTGCATGAATCCCGGGTGTGGGCTCCCCCCGGGCCCTCTGCACATGTCACTGAGTTCCCGGGTGAAGAGAACTCGGCCGAAGCATTTCTGACAGCTTAGCCGAGGTTCCTGACCAAGGAGCCGCCGTCCCGTCTGTCTAAGGGGGAGTTCAAGAGTGTTCGCTGTCCGAAGGCAGCCTTTAGGTGGAGGCAAGGAGGGTTCGACTATTGTAAATTCAGCATTGTTTTCTCACAGTCTACAGCGCATCTTTTTTGGAGCGAACGCCTGCTCGATTGGGGCTTTCTTTCCTTGTTGGCAGTGATCGTTTCCAGAAGCAGAGAGGACTCGATCGACAAGAATGTCCTCAAGCTGATAGCCTCTTGGACGGACAGCCTTGAAGGTCAATTCACCTTTGATGTGCGTTTCGGGACAGTCGGGTCATCCGTGAGTGAGGCGGTCTCGGTACAGCTTGAAGATGTTTGAACCAAGGACTTTGGGCTCTCCAGCCCAGCTTCCGATGGGAAGGTCCAGTCTTGTGGGAGAGAGGGCTGACTTCGCTGGAGCTTGACTCTGTGTCGGATCGTGTCGGAACCAAAGCTCTGCCATGCATCGCGCACCTCACGCTTCTTTCAAGCAGGTCATGTCCACGAAGGCCGGGACGCCCTACTACGTGGCGCCGCAGGCACAGCCTCGCCGTCTGCGTGAAGGGATTCCCTGGTGTCGAGTGTCTCATGGAAGGTGCTGCAGGGGAAGTACGACAAATCCTGTGACTTGTGGAGCTGCGGGGTGATCATGCCTGGCCCTGACACTTTCGGGGTGACCCATCTTCAGATCCCCGCCCTTTTGAGGTACACCATGCTCTGTGGATATCCTCCCTTCTACGGGAAGACGGACCACGAGGCCAGCTTCGCAAGCTTTATGCTGGGAATGCGGAAACTTTGTCGGGGCTAAAGATGTGCAGGTGCTTCACAAGGTGAAGTCTGGCAACTTTACCTTTGATCAGAAGGACGAGCTGTGTTTGGGACTTCGGGAGCACCCCAATCATCCCCAGTCTGCGACATCTCGGTTGTCCAAACTGTTTCTTGTGCCAACATGCTCCATCGTTCGCACGCAGTGCAGCACAGAAAAGCTGAAGATCTGGGCAGGATTGGAAGAATGTCTCAGACGATGCGAAGGCTCTGCAGAATTCTTTGATCTGCATTTTCTTCAGCGAAGCATTGGCAAGTACAGGGGCTACCACCGAAGAACGATGCTAGACTTGTCCTGCTTCTTGCTTGCAGGCACTGATAAGGATGCTGATCAAGTTTGATCCAGCTGAGCGCTACACGGCCGAGCAGGCTGCTGAGTTAGATCACGGAGCCCGAAGCAGACCGGAATTTCACTAGGAGGACTAGTGGAAGGCTGGCGCGTGCTTGCGTCACACTGCCATGTTGCCAGGCACTGCAGCACGAGTGGATCAGGTGCCCGCCGTAGAGGATCTTTGGGCGCCGTGTGCATGCGTACCGAAGACATGGCCCGGCACGCTGTTTTGGCTTGAGATTTCAGGCCATGACTCCCACATGGGCATCTCCTTGAAGCAACGGGCAATGATGCAGGGTCTGATTCAATATCCAAACAAGTTAATTCGATCATCGAGAGCAGCTAGCTCCGCGAAGCCTCGAAGTTGTTCCCGAGCGGCGATGCCAGAGGAAGGTGCCATTCCCCGGAAAGAGCTTGCCTTCGAAGATCGAAGCCTCGACTGTAACTGCAACGAATCGCAGGCGTGTCGAAGGGCGCCGGTGGGCGCCCAAACTTACCAGGCAGACGGTCCCAGAAGTTGCCGGGTCCTGCTGGGAGTGAGAGTGTGATGGTAGAAAGCAGAGATAAGCAATAAGCAGAGGGCATCAGAGCAGGGATCCGACGCTTTTCGCCAGGCATCTCCTCAGAATACACCCGGGTCCCGGCCGAGCTCATCTGGGCAAGGCCGGCTGCTTGAACCACTTAGTCCTCGGACGCACACAGTCGAGACGGAGAGTCGGAGGAAGTCGGTGGAAGAACTGGAGTACCTTCGGAAACGCACCGAGAATCCACCGAAGTAAAGCCCTCAGCCGGGCCAAAGCCATCGCTCCTTGGGACGTCGCTTGGCCTCGGTGTCTCGCTCGGAGGAGCCGGAAGAGACTGGGCAAGCTCGGCATGTTCGAGCTGGTGCCCGGGTCCCGGCCCGGACTCGGTGACTCAGCAACCCGACGACGATGCCGGAACCCGAGAGGCGCTATCCAACGTACCTTGAAGCCAAGATGGTGAAGTCACCGTCCCCCAGGCGCGTTGGCTGGTCATGTCAGGCCGTCACCATCCGTCACCATTCTCTCAATGTGAGGGAATCGCAGTGCAGTGCTATTGCGAGCCTCGTCACCGGCCTTGAGCTCAGAGAAGAGAGCGGTAGAGAACATGTGCTTTTTGCCTTTTGTAGGGTTCTGGGCCAGTTCTGGGCGGCACTCTTCGTGTTGGCTCCCAGGGATTGGCCCAACCCGCCTCTCGCAGCTGGAGCCGAGCTTGTGGCCCCCCAAGAAGACGTGTTTCTTTCTTGAGTCACCGTGTGCCGTGCAGCCGGTGGCAGGCCGGTGCCTGTGTGCTCCTCCGACCTAGAGATCGCTAGGCCGGACGTGGCCGACGAGGCAGGAGGAGCACCGTTTAAAGGGCAGTTGGGCTATTGAGAACAATCCGGGAGATGACAGGCCTCTGCAGTTTCCGCATGCCCGTCTTCTGCGCCTCTGCAGGCGTGGGTGTGGCTCGGTGGGACATGTCATCATGTCATGTGCGGCTTGCAACACTGATCTTCTTGCAGATGCTGAAGTACCAGAACCACTCCTCCGATTGGATGAGGCTCGCAGCAGCATCAGATTCGGAGCGAAATTTTGGTCAGCTGTAAGGAAGATGGAAGGCCAAGCTCTGTACCCAGGCCCGCGACGACGTGGCATCTGCCTCTGTCACTGTGGGAAGCCGTCACCGTGTGTTTAGGCCCAGCGGGGCCAACGAAGTCTACGCAGTCCTTGAAGAACTCGCTGACGGCGCTGAGCACAAGGTGCTGTCCAGAGCCACGTCAGTGCAACCAATCTGTCTGTCAGGGCTTTCCTCGAAAAGGCAGTTGTGTCTTTGTATCAGCCGTTTGCGGAGTTTCCGGCAGGCGCGATGTCTTGAGTCTCCAGCTGTTTTCATGCTGTGTGAGGCGACAGAAACCCTTGACGAAGTGAGTGACCTTGTACAGCAGCTTCTGATTCCGCCCACCGCCCCTAGACCCGATGCACTTGCTGTAGATATCTGTCTCTGGTAGTATGCGGTTGTGGGGTCGTTCCTGAGGCATAGATCTGAGCCCAGATACTTGCAGATTAGGCTGCGGCTGTTTGGCTTGCCTTGCCAATCGCAATGTCAAGTCTCGCAGCTTCGATTCGCAGTGTCAACGGTCGGCCAAGCTGACTGAAGGCCATGCAAGTCCGGCACAACCAGAGTGCCTTATCCGCTTGTGCAGCGGCTTCAGGGAATCAAAGCGGCTTGTCATGCTCCCATTGACTCTGGCCAGACCTGTGTGGCACTCTTCGCATGCATAAGTTGACATACACGGTCAATTCCGTGTGTAATGGTAGATCGCCAGATTTTCACACATCGTCATGTAAAACTCCAGCATGCTGCAGTCTCTTCCCTATACGTCCTGCCGGGGCGCTGCTTTCACAACTTTATGAGATGAGGTGCCGGGCACCGCGATCAACCACAGCATCACTGCAGGCTGGATTTGTGAGCAGCGGCGTCGGCTGCAGGGAACCAGGAAGCGCATGCCCGTACCCAAAAACAGGCCGGTATTGTGGACAACCTTCGTGCCTTCCAGAACCAACACAAGATGAAGAAGGCCGGCCACAGGGGCGGAGGTCTCCGGGCCTGTGGGAGTATCCTTGGCCCGCCGAGGCTGCATTACAGATCATCGCAGGCCAGCTCAGCGAGGAGAAGATCAAGGTGGCACTCGCCGTCCAGTAGTGGAGTCGCGAGGCTTGAGACGACAGCTGCTGGTAGGGGTCCTAGCTGCCAGGCCCTGCGGGAGATTTTTGTCGCACTGGACGCCAACGGCGACGGCTGCCTCGCGGCAGATGAACTTAGGGTGGAGCCCTGAGAGTGGAAACCGACCTGGAACTTATCCACGTGCCCATGCAAGATCTTCGGTGGTTGGATTACAATATACCCTACTCCCTAAACCAAACTCTAAAAACTAGACCCTAAATCCTAGATCCTAAACCCGAAACCCAACATGCGAAACCCTAAACTCTAAACCCTGTGCGGCCCAGGATGGGATGGCCAAGGCTTCCTTGGGCGAACTAATGTCCAAGGTGGACCTCGACGCCATCATCGAAGGCCTGGTCTTGTGGGGATTTCAACCAAGGTTCCATAACGGCTTAGGGATCTATACAGTAAGGGTCCTATAAAAGGGGCTTAGGGTTCTATACGGGGATTGCGGTTCTATAAGCGGCTACTGGGGCTGTAAGGCTTTAATAAGGGGTTTGGAGTTCTGCTGGTGATTTCTGCTGCATTTCAGCGTCTGTACAAGCTCGTTTGCTCAGCCCCAAAAATTATCCGAACTTTGCTAGTAGTCTTTAGTTACCACATCCACAAGTGTTCCTTGGATTAACCGCGACTGCCACTGTCAAGCTGTCGCTCAGCACATGGCCAGGCGTGGACGCAGATGGCAGTGGCATGATCGACTATACAGAATTCCTGGCTGCTACGCTTGACCGGTACACCTGCGTGATTATTCATGATTCAACAGATCAAAGAGAGTCGTCGGGGTATCGGTCTCCTCATCGCTGACCATATCATAGGAATGATAGCACCGCCACTGCCACCATCATCACCACCACCATCATCCCCACCCCCACCCACGACGACAAGGTCAACGTAGTAGTAGTAGTAGTAGTAGTAGTAGTAGTAGTAGGAGTAGTAGGAGTAGTAGGAGTAGTAGGAGTAGTAGGAGTAGTAGGAGTGGTAGGAGGCGGAGGAGGAGGAGGCGGAGGAAGAGGAGGAGGAGGAGGAGCAGGAGTAGGCGTAGGAGTATGAGAGTGGTGCTGATGCTGCTGCTCCTTGGACGTGTGAGCAAGCGCACTTGTCTGGTATGCCAGGAAGTGTTACTTGCAGGAGGACGTTTGCTACAATGCCTTCAGTGCGCATCCTCAGAGTCTGGCATTTGTTTGCATCGAAAGCGGCTTTCTGACGCACAATGCCTGCATGCTCCAAGGCTGTCCAGTAGGCATATCGTCAATAACAGCTTGTTTAGATTACTGCTTCCACCCTTTGTCTGTTTTGTTCTCTTCTTGTGAATACTCCCACAGCCTGTTCAGCAGCCATGTCCAGTACCATTCATGCCAAGATTGATACCACAGCTAAACCTGCTGTTGCCACTTCTGGTGGATAGTGAAGCTTCTGGTTGCTGCAGCAATTGAAGAGGTGTCTTCGACCAAGATGGAGATGGCCAGATCACTTTGGAGGTAGCCAGAACGTCCCCGAGAGTGTGTTTGTTACGCGAAGATTTCCAATCCGGGTACTGATCTGCCATCCTTGGTATCTGAAGCACCCTTTGAATTGCTCTTCTTCATCAGGATTTGGCGACTAATCCGACTACTCGTTCTTTCGCTGTACGTGCTGTGCCGTTTGAGAAGTGCGAAAGAGCGTTTAGGGCCCACACTGTGCCCTCGACCGGGAGGAGCTGAAGACGATCCTTGACAACGGCAACATGGACGAGGACGCCGTTTTGCTGCTGCTGGTGCTGCTGCAGCACGCCTTCTGTCGTTCTCGGAGTCTAGCAGCTATAGCTTTCCGGGAAGTTTGCAGGCCTTGGGAAGCAAAACTTCGGAGGATATTCTCAAGGCGCGACACTGGCGTAAGCACTGTGTTCGTGACCACCATCTCTGCATATAGGGCGGGAACCACATTAATGGAAATGGTTGATGTATGGCATTCTGGCTGCTTGGGCTCTATTAAAATTAATAGCAATGTGGCCCGGCCGGGAGTCTTGCCATAAATGTGGTCCCTTTTATAAATCTGATTCTGGCTGCTGTCCGGCAGGCCCCGTAAGGGGTAGCTTAGGAAGGAATGAGAAATTGCTTCCTTTTATAAGGCCTTTAATAAGAAAGCCTAGCTTTTTGAAGGGCTTCAGCTTTTGGAAAAAGCTTGGCTCCGGAAGACAGCCTCTGCCTCTGCTGCAAGGCAAGGCCTTGCTTCTTTATTAAAGCAGCAAGTAAGCGAAAAGCAAAGATTGCAGCGACAGATGCAGACTCGTCTCACAGAAGTGCAGTGCAATGGCTTCTGCTCCTGCAGACTGGAGATCGGCGAGTAGCTCCGGGCGAGTAGCTCCGGATGCAGAAAAGAGAGATAGGAAAGAAGCTGCAGCTCCTAGTGTCCTAATGTTCTTGCCAACGGAAGTAATTTTCTTTAAATGTAGTACCTTTTCGCGAGACGAAATCCACCCGCAATTGAAAGTAGTCTTCTAGACCCAATCCGGGCCGAAATAATTTTGTTTAAATGTAGTCCCTTTTCTAACTCCCATCCTCGGATTAAATGCGGGTATGGAGTTGGCCGTCCATGCATCCTGCTTTGGTGTTATCCAGGAGCCTACAAAGAGTAGGGAAAATCATCACCATTCCAGTCAGAAGTCCCGGCAGGGATAGTCCTTTGGAGGGCTCTATGTTTACGGCTTCGATGCGACTTTGCTCCCGACAGGCTTTTAATTGTGCAGAAGAGTTAATGAATTGCTCTTCGATGGATTGCCTGCGATTTCCAACAATTCTCACAGCCTACTTTCACCAGATTCTTCGAACAAACTTCAAGCATAGCATTCCCGAGTCGCTTGGTGTTCTAGTGCCACCTCGCTGTACTGACCTCCGTCGAAATGTGGTCAAGACTCAAGTGCTGCAGTTGCGGGTCTGGTTTCTCCGTCTATCTTGAGATTCGTGTATTTAGCATGGCTGAGGAAGGCTAGGAATGCACGGACGGGAGGGGTTGCTATGTTGGCAGGCTGTGGATGCCGATGGAAACGGCTCCATAGACTTCCAGGACTGCAGTGCAGCTCCTCGTATCTCCAAAGCTGGCTCCTTGCACGCTTTCGGCTTCTTTCGCGTCCCCTACCCCGCGACTCCGGTACAGCTTGTGGGGGGTTGGGCGGAGAACGCCGGAGCCAAGAATGTGCGATTCAGGCGTGTCGTC